ATTTTTTACTATGAACTATTCATCAAGATTTAAAACCAGATAACATTCTTTTAGATGAAGAGATGAATCTTAAAATTTTAGATTTTGGAATGACTAAATGTTCAAATATGGTCAAACTCATACTAATACAACTAGAGTTATGGGAACATTGTAAGTATAAATCTCCTCTCAAATGTCGTAGTCAAAATTTCCCTCCCAATAGGGACTACAGCACAAAGTTGGCAAATATTAATCAAAATTATTTTTGATTGTTGATAATGGATATTGTTAGGCTTAGTTTCTTCCATGTAAAGGTGGTTTAAAACTAAAGCCTATTCACCAAGGACTTTTAGTTCTTTCATGCTTGGTTATAGGGTTTTAAACCCTTATACGACTGAAAAAAGAAATAAGAGAGTGTGGCAGCAAAATAGAGAAAAAAGGAAGAAAAGAGGGTTTTGTGTAGTTTCGGTCAAGTAGTTTGATCACCATTAATCTGTTATTCGATTGAGTTAAAATTTTATTATTGTATTTATGACTCATTATTTTTCAATCTGAACGGTTGAGATCGAGTTTTAAAATTAATACCTACTGATTTTATGAGTATTTGTTAATTCTTAAATTTACTAAGATTTCTTCAATTTTCTCTTGCAAAATTGTTTATATAGCAAAATTACTTAATCTTGAGATATTATGGTTATATACCTCTAGTTTTAGCTAAAAAAAATTTTGTATTCCTATTATTTTTATAGTAGAGATTATTTATTACTGTCTATGGATTTTACTTTTCGTTTAGGGATGTTTTTCACGTAAATTGCTTGTGTTTTTGTGCATGTGGTTTGGTGATTTATTTGTTAGCTCTATTTGTTTGATTCTTGCTAGATTCATAAAAAAATAAGATAATTTGATTTTTTTGCTACGTGACATATTCGGTTTGAATATTGTTGAGATTCTTTTATCTCATTAAAGTGGTATTAGAGCTCATGCTATTTGATTTATGCCTTATGTTGAATAATGTATGCTAATACATATAGAAAGATTAATTTGAATGGTTCAAATTACCATGTGTAGAAAGGGATATGAAAAACTTGTTTTATATAAAGGATTATTATTTGCCTATGTTTGCCACTGAAAAACCTTAAAATAAAACAGATGTGAAATGAAATTTGTTTCATTAACAGGTATATGATTATATTAAACAGTGGATAGATAATAATGTTTTGAACCATGTTAGGTGAAAAACACATGCACACACTCTTTGGAGCATGTTTGAGGAGTTATATGCTTGAAAAACTGAGAATAACAAACTATTTTTAATTAAGTAGCTGATGTGTTTGAAATATAGAGATGAAACTCCTATGACAGATTACTTGAATGCACATTAAGGTACTATTAATCAATTAGCTAGCATGAATCTCAAGTTTGAAGATGAGATATAAAGCTTATGACTTTCTGGTATACTGTCAGACTCGTGGGAGATGTTTAGAACAACATTATCTAACTTAGTCCTAAATTGTATTATCACTATAGATTTAGCTAAGAGTGGTGTTTTGAATGAAAAAATGTAGAGAAACTCATAGGGTTTCTTTTCACAATTTGAGGTCTTAGTCATAAAAAATAAGATGATGAGTAAAAGTAGAGATCCAAAAATAGAGACAGTAGCAAGATTAAGTCCAATAAATTTATCAATATTAAGTGTCATTATTGTGGTATGAAATGACATATAAAAAAAATATTGCCAAAAGTTAAAAAGAGACAACAATAGTGAAAAAGATAAGGAAAAAAAAATGGTGATAGCAATGATCCTGATAAAGTTTCTACTGTTATAGATAATTTTTTTATTTTATATGATGATGATGTTGTTAATCTTACATGCCATGAGACTAGTTAAGTATTGATATTGGTGCTATAATTCATGCTATATCTCAGAAAGACTATTTTGCATCTTATACACTTTGTAATTTTGAGAGTGTTAGAATGAGTAATGATGGCTCAACTAAATCCATTAGTATAGGAAATGTGTTTTTGGAGATCAATAATGGTACTACATTGGTCCTGAAAAATGTTAAACATATTTTCGATATTCACATGAATTTGATTTCTGCAGGAAAGCTTGATGATGAAAAGTTTTACAATATTTTTTGTGATGGTCAGTGGAAACTCACTAAAGGTTATATGGTTGTAGCTACAGGTATAAAGTGTTCTTCATTGTATTTGATGCAGGTAAAGGTATCTGATTTCATTATCAATATAGTAGATAATGATGATACAATTGAGTTTTGGCACAAGCAACTTAGTCATATGAGTGAGAAAGGTTTAAAGGTTTTGGTCAAGAAAAATTTTCTTTTTGGAGTGAAAAATGTATCTTTGAAGAAGTGTGATCATTGCTTGGTAAGGAAACAAACCAAAGTTGCATTCAAGACATCTCCTCCATAAAAAAAGCCAAGCATATTTCATTTAATATATTCTGATGTTTGTGGTCCTATGAGAACAAAAACACTTGGTGGTTTCATCTATTTTGTGATCTTTATAGATGATCATTCAAAGAAGATGTAGATTTATACCTTGAAATCAAAAGACTAAGTGTTAGATGTATTTAAATAGTTGAATGCTTTAGTTGAAAGACAAATAGAATTGAAATTGAAATGCATAAAGACTGATAATGAAAGTGAGTACACTGGACCTTTTGATGAGTATTGTAGATAGTAGGGTATTGGACATCAAAGATCACCTTTTAAAACTCTTTAGTTGAATGGGTTAGCTTAGAGGATAAAGATGACCACTAATGAAAAAAGTAAGATGTTTGCTTTCACAAGAACAGTTATCAAAATCTTTTTGGGTTGAGGCTCTAAGTACAATTGTACTTGTTTTAAATCTTTCACTTTGTGTTCCTCTAGATTTTAATGTTCTAGATAGAGTTTGATCAAGCAAAAATGTGTCTTATGATCACTTGTGCACATAAAAATGTAAGGCTTTTAAGTATATTCCCAAATATGAAAGGTCTAAGTTTGATGTCAAGACTAGACAATATGTATTTTTTGGCTATGGCTGGGATGAGTTTGGCTATAAGTTTTATGATCCAATGTAAAAAAAACTTGTGAAAAGCATAGATATTGTTTTTATTAAAGACTAGACCATACAAAATATTCAAAAGACTGATACATGAGTTTCACGATGCAGTGATGCTTTGATTGATTTAGATCTAGTTCTTCTAACACATATGCCTATAGAGATTGAAGATGTTGAGGATAACCAATATAATACAAGTGATGTTGATACCAGTCTTACACAGGCTAAGGTGGGTGATGATACCTATGAATAGTCATCAATATCAGAGGTTCAACCAAAGGTTTTACCAGAAGTTCTATTCAAGAAGTCTATTAGAGATCGATAACCTTCCACATGATATTTTATTGATAAGTATGTGTTACTAACTGATGTGAAAAAACTTGAATGTTATTCAGAGGCCATGAAAGATGAACAAAAGAAAGAGTAGGTTGATGCCATGCAAGACGAGATGAAGTCTTTGTATGAAATAATACTTTTAAGCTGGTAAAACTACAAAGGTAGAAGATTGAAGTTTATTGTTCAATTATCATAATGGCGATTCCTTTCACATAGTTAGAAAAATGAGAGATTTATTAGGCTTAGTTTCCCTTATACGGAGTTGACTTAAAACTAAAGCCCATTCTCCAAGGATTTTTTAGTCTTTTTATGCTTAGTTATAGGGTTTTAAACCCTTATATGACTGAAAAAAGAAACAAGAGAATGTGACGACAAAATAGAGAAAAAAGGAAAAAAAGAAGATTTTGTACAATTTCGATTAAGTAGTTTGATTAAAATCAATCTGTTATCCAATTTAGTTAAAAATTTATCAGTGTATTTATGACTAATTGTTCTTTAATTTGAATAGTGGAGATCGAGTTTCGAGTTTTTTACCTACTGATTTTACGAGTGTTTATTAATTTTTAAATTTATTGAGACTTCTTCAAATTTCTTTTGCAAGATTAGTTTTTTACCAAAATTATTTAATTTTGAGATATTATATACCTCTAGTTCTAGCTAAAAAAAATTTTATATTTTCATTATTTTAATAGTAAAAGTTATTTGTTACTATATGTAGTTTTTATTCTTCGATTTGAAAATATTTTTCATGAAAATTATTTATGTTTTTGTGTTTGTAGTATGATAATTTATTTATTAGTTTTATTTATTTTATTTTTGTTAACTTCACATAAAAAATTAATAATTTAATTTTTTTTACTGTATGATATATTCAGTTTAAATATTGTTGGAAATTATTTTATCTCATCGTACATATGACTTCAGAGTATGTAAAACAGACGTTTCTCAGTCAAGTCAGATGTTTATCGCTTTGGTGTGCCAAGTCAGATGTTTATAGCTTTGGCATGTTTGTTTTGGAAATCATCGGTGGCAAAAAAAAACAGTAATTTCTTTGACGAGGAGGCAGGGGGTCTTCCAATTTATGTAAGACATAGTCAATAATTCATGCACCATTGGAAAAAAGGAAAAAGTGATATTTTTCCTATGTTTTAAATTATAAGGATTTAAATTTTAATCATTAAAATTAACAGGTTAAACTTTTATTAATGATCATGTGATAGTTTAAATTATTTTGATCGTAATTTTAATAAAATTAGAAATTTTATATGCTATTGAAAAACAAAAAGAATTTTTTTATAGAATTATTCCCGTATATATCTTCTGAAATTTTACACAGCTTGGGTAAATTGCATTGGACGTTGGAACCGGGGAAAAATCATTCCAATTGCCATGGACGAACGTCTTTGATTTACGTACCACTTCCACCAGCAAAACGAGTTTGTGAGTTTGAACCTGATAAAACTCCGCAATATCACATTAATGATTCTGCGGTAATTTCTTCTACCCACGACACAATTGCTGGGTTTGGTATACGAAGATCTTGACTTCGAAAAGTCACAAGTCAAAAAGATAACCCCAAAGCCACGTCCCTTAGTGTCTCTGTCAAAAAAACAGAACCACTCAGGAAGAAACCTGGAAGGATCTCTTTTGAATTTTCTTCCTACTCGCATCAACTTATAAGCCGTTGCGGGCTTGTCGATGCGATACTGCCATGGTGGGTTATCCACTCGATGAGGATTAATTACTGGGAATTTCAGAATTTCACATGTTTTCGGTTGCTTGACTTCAACTGCATGAGGCTTGCGCTTCAATGGCAATATTTTTCCAACTCAAGTCAAGAAGCCTGAACATACAAACTCTCATCTTCTTGCAAAAAAAACTTTTTTTTCGTGCAGGGATTTCAATTCTGTCAAATTTGAGGCCGATTATTTTGAAACCAGCGTAGTCACGTAATGCGGGTTAAAGTTCTTGTTTCATTCCTCTCCCATCTGCTTATAAGCATCAGTCTTGCCACTGCCCTAAATTGCTATGACACAGGTAATTTCACAACTAATAGTACATATGGCAAAAACCGGGACCTTATTCTTGCTTCTCTCCCTGCTAATGTCTCTGCAAACGGTGGTTTCTTTACCGCCACTATTGGCCAAGACTCCAACAAAGTTTACGCTCTTGGGCTTTGCAGAGGAGACTTTTCTTCAGATGCTTGTTATAGCTGCCTCAATTCCTCAATTCCCGATCTCATAGCTAAGTGTCCCAACCAGAAAGGAGCCATGTCATGGGCAGGGAATCTATGTCTTGTACGCTATGCAGATCGCTCTTTTTTTGGAATCCTGGAGCTAGACCCTACTGATGCTGGCTATAACACGGGCGACATCAACTATAACTTAACACAATTTGATCCTGTTTGGGAGAGTTTGATGGATAGTGTGGTGAGAAAGGCTTCCATGGGCTCGTCTAAGCTTAAGTATGCAACTGGGGAAACAGTTTTTACAGCATTTCAAACGATATATGCACTAATGCAGTGCACCCCAGATTTATCGCAGAAGAATTGCGATTCCTGCCTTAGAGAATCCGTCAGTTACTATGAAAGATGTTGCCATGGGAAGCAAGGAGGTTATGTTTTGAAGCCTAATTGTTGGTTCCGGTGGGATTTGTATCCCTTCTATGTATCTAATGCTGCTACTACTGCTCCATCCTTATCTCCTCCTCTCCCACCAGAATCTGGAAGTCCTCCTCCGCATCCAGTGAACTCCACAATCACAAAAGGTAAGTACGTGTCTTGCTAGATGAATTGCAGGTTTCATCAAAAAGATGAAAATTTCAATAAATAGGTACTTGTCAAAAAATTTCATACAAATTTCTTGCTTTTGCAGAGGATGGAGGCATTTCATCACCAACTCTTGCCATTATAGTTGTTCCAATTATCCTCTTCGTGGTAGTTGGCATATATGCAGTTGTTTTTCTCCTCAAGAGGAGGAAGAAAACAAAGCAGGAGGATCAAAGTAAGTTCGTCTTTGATTTTTGTTTGTTATAGTCTACCACTCTACCTTCACCACATCACAGAATCAACATCTTTACAATTTTTAAATAGGTGTGGTTTCATACTTTGGAAATTAAATATGAGTAATTTTTTCCAACAATATGAAAAAGAAAAGATCGTTGTCAGCTTAAGTACTATCTATGAAGTGAGATCCATCTAGCCAAAATCTTGCCAGTGCCTTTCTCTCCTTTTCATTTGCTATAACTTGCTTCGTTTGTTAATTTGCAGATGACAGGAGTCATGAGAAATCATTGCAATTTGATGAGAAATCGTTGCAATTTGATTTTAATGCGGTAAGAATTGCAACAGAAGACTTCTCGGATACAAACATGCTTGGACGAGGCGGATTTGGTACTGTTTATAAGGTAATTAAAGATTTAGTGTCTGAAATTTTTCAATATAAAAAAAAAAATTAAGAAAAGAAAAGATAGAGAATGATAGAATAAAGCTTCCTCTGCCGCTGTGCCGCCTTTATATCTAGAAGTAATGGAGGACTTTGTGTCTTCTTTTCCGAGTGCTAAGCTTAACACTTTTAGTGGTGTCTCCATTACTCAACCTCCAAATTTCCCATTTGTAATAAAATATCTTTCAAAATGTGCTAAATTTAGTGTTTTTATCTCTGCCAAAAAACAACTCGCTAGTATCACTACTCTCTTGAAAAACAAATACTAGGAATTGCAAGTTAGTTTTTTCCATCATTTTTCTTTGTTACATCTTCTATCAGGGTAAGCTTCAAGATGGACAAGAAATAGCTGTGAAGAGACTGTCTGGTAATTCAGCACAAGGCCAACAAGAATTCAAGAATGAAGTCCTGTTATTGGCAAAGCTTCAACATAGGAATTTGGTTAGGCTTCTTGGTTTTTGCTGGGAACAAAACGAAAGGATTCTCATCTATGAGTTTTTGCCCAACTCAAGCCTTGACCGCTTCATATTCGGTATGGTAGCAATTCATTTGACTATACAAATTGAATATATTAACTTTATTTAACTGGTTTGTCTTGGCAGAATGCAGTCGAGAGATGTTTATTGGTAAAAAATTCCATAACTCTGATTATAAGTATTCTGTTCATGACTAATCATGAGTAGAAACTTTTTGAATGCATTTTAGTCCTGGAATTTTGTAGATCCTGTCAGGCGTTTACTACTAAATTGGGAGAAGAGATATAAAATTATAGAGGGAATAGCTAAGGGACTTCTTTATCTTCACGAAGATTCTCAATATCGAATCATCCATCGCGATTTAAAAGCAGCCAATATATTGTTAGATGCAGAGATGAATCCTAAAATTTCTGATTTTGGAATGGCAAAATTGTTTCCGGTTGATCAAACTCAAACTGGTACAAGCAAAATCGTTGGGACCTTGTAAGTATATGAACATGCGTATTTTGTTTTTACACCGGTTAAGTGTAAAATACTAGGTTATCCTAAGCATTAGCACAAATTCACCAAGGGCTTATTTTAGCATCCATTGAAATTCATTTTTTTTTATTAATTTGTTGTCTTCAGTGGATATATGGCTCCAGAGTATGCTTGGCATGGACGATATTCAGCTAAGTCTGATGTTTATGGCTTTGGTGTGTTGGTTTTGGAAATCATTAGTGGTAAAAAAATCAGTAGCTTCACCGAAGAAAAAGTGGGAGAGTCTCTTCTAACCCATGTAAGTTGCATCTCCCTTGTGTTCATGATATAAGTGGATTAGAATTGTTAAAAAGGATAACGTAGATTTTACATGCTTTTTGCTGAGTTCATATTCTCAAAATCTTTGCAGGCATGGAAAAATTGGAATGAAGGGACTGCTTTGGAACTTATAGATCCAATTTTGAGCGATGGTTCGAACAGTGAAATAATGAGGTGTATCCATCTCGGATTGCTGTGTGTTCAAGAAAATATTGCTAATAGACCAACCATGGCCTCTGTCGTTCTCATGCTTAGTCGCTACTCCATCTCTGTCCCAGTGCCATCGAGACCAGCATTTCATGCACATTCCATAGAGGAGACTGAAACGAGGTCTGAGTCATCCATAACTGATGAATATAGACGTGAAACTGTCAAAGTCTCAGTCGACAAGGCTTCAAATTCCGAGCTAGATCCTCGATAAAGTTTGAAAGATGTACAGTACTTAATTAACTGTAAGTTTGTCTAGAAATTCTCAGTGCTTCTTTGGTTTTTTTTATTCACAAAAAATTTAAAATAAGGAAAGATTTTCTCGAGACAACTTATAAGTGAAATATTAGATTCTTATCAACTCAATCAACTTTGCTTCTTTGGTTTAAATATACATAATAAACAACTTTGGTTCGCTGCTTAGCGAGCCCTTTGCTTGATAAGTCTTCCACATTATGTATTTTTAATTTTTAATGTTTTTCCGTGTGAGTGGTTTGTTGAATGGATTGTACAAGCTTAAACCTCTTGTATTCTATAAGGCAACCACATACCTAGCGGGCCAGAGTTTTCCCTTGAAAATTTAAAGCCCAAGTAGTAGTTAGGATGAAATCCACTTTTGTGAACCCATCGGCTAAAAAACCCGCCCAAGTCAAAAGTGAAAGGGTTGACCATAAGCTGTTGGCCCATTGGAAAGGGGTGAATAGCTAGTGCCTTAATTTATCCAAAAGAAGATAAAAAAAAATCCAAAGCCCAAAAGTAAAAGAAAACAGAAAAAGGAGTCCACCGAAAAGAGATCATATTTTTTATCTCAAATTGCAGGCCCTGCAGCAACGGACTCACTGAAGTCCATGCGATTGGTTCCACAAAAGAACTATCCACCTGAAGCATATTTTGTTTAAAAGCAAATTGAGTTGTTTTTAGTTGGTGCTGGGAATACGAAAATGTGTAATAGACCAGATTCATGGAATCAGCACAGTTTGGATAAATTTAATATATTATTTTTTTTATTAAGTTTGATAAAAATAACATTCTTTTTTAAAAAAACATTTAAATTATTGTCATTATTATGCATGAGGTTGGGGGAAAAAAAAGTGATTCACAATTTAATATTCAAATCGATTAGAACTTTACTATTGTCAGTATATTCTTTTTTTTTTCGTCTCTTTTAAATTAAAGAAATATAACTAATTGTTTATTACCTTAATAATCCTATTCATTTTGTCCATTTTTTTTTAAAAAATAATATTATTGGCCTGTGAGAACCAAATTAAGCAAAGGCAGCGAAGTGCAATGGAATTTGTTTTCATTATCGATCTATTTCCACGCATACAATTACTATGCAGCATCTCCCGTTCTCTTTCCTTTTGGGGTAATTCTCTGTTTGACAATTCAGACAGAGCCTGTTTACTTACGATTTTTTGACTTATAACTCAAGCCTTGACCATTTCATATTCGGCATAGTTGCTGCAAATACATTTGAGTAATTTGACCAGCCGTGTGAGGATATATTCACTCATGCAGTGCATTCCGGATCTATCTCAGAGTGACTGCGCCAACTGCCTAAGAGTGTCTGTGGATGACTAACTAAGACGTTGCCATGGGAGGGAGGGAGGTAATGTTCATAAACCTAACTGTTCCTTCCGATGGGATATGTATCCCTTCTATGATTCTTCAGCGGACGGCCCGTCCCTATGTCCTCCACCTAATGTTCCTCCTCCGCATTCTACTGATACAATAACCAAGAAAGGTACAGGATCTCGCCCATTGGAGAAATTCAGATTATATGGGACTAAAAACAAGGATATATAGAACAATCTTCTTTAATAGACGTGAATTATTTTGAAATACTTGAAAAAGAAAAGTACCCAAAATTTGCCTGTATGGGACCTCTTATAATGTTTCACATTTTATAAATGCTGAATTCAATTGTCAAGTATGTTGGTGGCTTTAATTTGCAGATAAATAAAGCTCCATATCTTGAACTGCTATATTTATCGTTGCTCCAATTGTTACTCTAATGGCAACTTTGGCTCTTACTTGCGCCGTGCTACGAACGATGACGAAGAAGATCAAATGGGAGAAGTAACTAATCATTTTATTTTGTTTGGCTCTATATGTTACAAATTTAGTTGACTATGACTACATATCTTCATTACAATAGCTTCAAGCACTTGGAATTTCAGAGAAATCATAGAAAAATAATTTTACTGCTTGGTACTTTGAAACTGCATGTCTAGTAGTTGTGCCAAAGAAAATCAGACAGTCTGCAATAAAGATCATACGATCAAACCATGCAGGTATTTTCCATTTTTCCATTTACATATGTTCACCAATTCAATCTGTGAAGTTGCAGATGAAAATGTTAGCACCAGATTGCCATTTGACTTCAGCAGGCAGTCATTGCAACTAGATCTTAGCACTATCAAAGAAGCAACAATTAACTTCTCCGATGATAACAAGCTTGGACAGGGTGGTTTTGGCCCCGTCTACAAGGTAATTAGAGACCGTTGTAGAAGAATGAGTCAATTTTTTAATTTTCGATTAGGACTAAGAGTCATATTTTCTCTGTTTTGTTGCTTCAGGGCACCCTTCCTGATGGACATGAAGTAGCCGTGAAGAGGCTGTCTACGAACCCTTAACAAGGAGAAGTAGAATTTAAGACCGAAGTCCTGTTAACGGCAAGGCTTCAACACAGAAATTTGGTTAGGCTTATAGGTTTTTGCTTGGAGGAAGAGGAAAGGTTTCTCATCTATGGGTTTGTGCCTAAATCAAGCCTCGACAAGTTTATATTTCGTATGATTGCATTTTTCTTCCTGATGCATTTTTTGGTAGATATTATATTAACACATCTCACAGAAGGCAAGAGCTTATACATGAAGAGAGAGAGAGAGAGAGAGAGAGAGAGAGAGAGATTGTGTAATAAAATTCATATTTATACATCTATTTTTATTATTAGCATTGTTTTACCATGAGTTAAGTAACTTGATTTTGTAATTTTGTAGATCCAATCAAGTGTGTGCTATTGAATTGAGAACATAGATACAAAATTATAGTAAGAATTGCTCGAGGGATTCCTTATCTTCATGAAAATTTTCGACTATGAATTATTCATCGAGATTTAAAAACAGATAATATTCTTTTAGACAAAAGGATGAATCCTAAAATTTTAGATTTTGGACAAGTTGTTCAAATTTGATCAAACTCGTACTGATACAACCAGAGTTGTGCGAACATTTATAAGTCACCTATCAAATTTCATAGTCAAAATTTCCCTCCCAATTGGGACTAAAGCACAAAATTGGCAAATATCAATCAAATTTTACTTCTCATTGTTTATAGCGGATATATGGCTCCAGAGTACGTAAAACATGGACATTTCTCAGTCAAGTCAGATGTTTATAGCTTTGGTGTGTTAGTTTTGGAAATCATCAGTGGCAAAAAAATCAGTCATTTCTTCGACGTGGAGGCAGGGCGTCTTCCAACTTATGTAAGACATAGTCAATAATTCAAGCACCATTGTAAAAAAAGGAAAAAGTGATATTTTCCCTATGTTCCGGAAATTTGACTAGTAGTACTAATTTAGAGTCTCCAATTTCTATACTTTTTCTTGTATGGAAAAATTGGAAGAAAGGAACAGGCTTGAATGAAATAGATCCTATTCTGATGGGTAGTTCCACAAGTGATACGAAGAGATGTATCCACCTAGGGTTGCAATGTGTTCAAGAAGGTGTTGTTAATAGACCAACTATGGCTTCAGCTCTTCTTACGCTCAGTAGATGCACCTACTTTCTTCCAGAGCCCTCAAAACCTGGATTCTGCCAAAACTCTTCTCCGGAATTGGGGGAATCCTCATTACAAAATGGCAATACAAATTTAGTGGCATCCGATAATTCCAAAACCGAAATCACTCAATTTACCCAAAATGAGGTTTCAATTTCTGACATAGTTCCTCGATAACGTTTGAAGATGTTAGCTGTATTTTTAAACTTGTTTTCTGGAATTGATCATTATTACTTATTTACTTTGTTCTAATAAATGTTGATTAGCAGTTTGAACTACTTATTTACTTTGGTTTTAATAATTTTTTAATGTTTTAAATTGTTAAAATTTGAATTCTAATTATTAAAATTAAGGAATTAAACTTTTATCTATTGATCATGTGATAGTTTAAATTATTTTGATCTTAATTTTAATAAAATTAGAAATTTTGTATGCTATTGAAAAACGAAAAGAATTTTTTTTATAGAATTAATTCCCGTGTATATCTTCTGAAATTTTACACAGCTTGGGTAAATTGCATTGGCCGTTGGAACCGAGGAAAAATCATTTGCGATGGACGAACGTCTTTGATTTACGTACCATTTCCACCAGCAAAACGAGTTTGTAAGTTTGAACCTGAAAAAACTCCGCAATATCACATTAATGATTCTGCAGTAATTTCTTCTACTCCCGACACGATTGTTGGGTTTGGTATAGGAAGACCTTGACTTGGAAAAGTCACAAGTCAAAAAGCTAACCCCAAAGCCATGTCCCTTAGTGTCACTGTCAAAAAAACAGAACCACTCGGGAAGAAACCGGGAAGTATCGCTTTTCAATTTTCTTCCTATTCACGTCAACTTAAAAGTCGTTGCGGGCTTAACGATGCGACACTGCCATGCTGGGTTATCTACTAGATGACGGGTAATTACTGGGAATTTTAGAATTTCACAAGTTTTCGGTTGCTTGACTTCAACTGCGTAAGGCTTCCATGGTAGTATTTTTCCAACTCAAGTTAAGAAGCCAGAACATACAAACTCTCATCTTCTTGCAAGAAAAAACTTTTTTTTTCCAACAGGGATTTCAATTCTCTCAAATTTGAGGTCGATTATTTTGAAGCCAGCGTAGTCACGCAATGTGGGTTAAAGTTCTTGTTTCATTCCTCTCCCATCTGCTTATAGGCATCAATCTTGTCACTGCCCAACATTGCTATGACACAGGTAATTTCACAACTAATAGTACGTATGGCAAAAACCGGGACCTTATTCTCGCTTCTCTCCCTGCTAACGTCTCTGCAAAAAGTGGTTTCTTTACTGCCACTATTGGCCAAGACTCCAACAAAGTTTACGCTCTCGGGCTTTGCAGAGGAGACCTTTCTTCAGATAATTGTTATAGCTGCCTCAATTCCTCAATTCACGATCTCATAGCTAAGTGTCCCAACCAGAAAGAAGCCCTGACATGGGAAAAGGATTGTCTTGTACGCTATGCAGATCGGTCGTTTTTTGGAATCCTGGAGCTAGATCCTACTGTTGCAGTCTATAACCCGGGCAATATCACATCGAACTTGACACAATTTGATAAGGTTTGGGAGAGTTTGATGGATAGTGTGGTGAGACAGGCTTCCATTGGCTCGTCTAGTCTCAAGTATGCAACTGGGGAAGCATATTTTACACCATTTAAAAACATTTACGCTCTAATGCAGTGCACTCCAGATTTATCGCAGAAGAATTGCGATTCCTGCCTAAGGAACTCCGTGAATTACTATGAAACATGTTGCCATGGGAAGCAAGGAGGTGTAGTTAGGAACCCTAACTGTTGGTTCCGGTGGGATTTGTATCTCTTCTATACACCTAATGCGTCTACTACTGCTCCATCCTTATCTCCTCCTCCCCCACCTGAATCTGGAAGTCCTCCTCCGCACCAAGTGAACTCCACAATCACAAAAGGTAAGTATGGGTCTGCTAGATGACATGCAGATTTCAGCAAGAAGATGAAAATTTCAATAATAGGTATCTTGTAAAAAAATTACATACAAATTTCTTGTTTTTGCAGTGGATGGAGGCATTTCATCCCCAACTCTTGCCATTATAGTTGTTCCAATTATCGTCTTCGTGATAGTTGGCATACTTGCAGTTGTTGTTCTCCTCAAGATGAGGAAGAAAACAAAGCAGGATGATCAAAGTAAGATCGTCTTTGATTTTGTTTGTTATAGTCTACCACTCTACGATCACCACTTCCCAAAATCAACCTCTTTACAATTTTTAAGTGGGTGTGGTTTCATACTTTGGAAATTAAAGATGAGTAATTTAATCCAGCAATATGAAAAAGAAAAGGTTGTGGTTAGCCTAATAACTATCTATGAAGTGAGATCCATTTAGCCAAAATCTTGCCAGTGCCTTTCTCTCCTTTTCATTTGCTATAACTTGCTTCTTCTGTTAATTTGCAGATGACAGGAGTCATGAGAAATCGTTGCAATTTGATTTTAATGCAGTCAGAGTTGCAACAGAAAACTTCTCGGATGCAAACATGCTTGGACGAGGTGGATTTGGTACTGTTTATAAGGTAATTTAAGATTTAGTGTGTGAAAATTTTCAATATAAAAAAAGAAAAGAAAAGATAGAGAATAATAGAATAAGGCTTCCCCTGCCGCTGTGCCGCCTCTATATCTAGAAGGAATGGGGGACTTTGTCCTCTTTTCCGAGTGCTAAGCTTAACACTTTTAGTGGTGTCTCGGTTACTCAACCTCCAAAGTTCACATTTATAATTAATTTTCTTTCAAAATGTGCTAAATCTAGTGTTTTTGTTTCTGCCGAAAAACAAGTAATTCGCTAGTATCACTACTCCCTTGAAAAACAAATACTAGGAATTGCAAGTTAGTTTTTTCCATCATTTTCTTTGTTGCATCTTCTATCAGGGTAAGCTTCAAGATGGACAAGAAATAGCTGTGAAGAGACTGTCTGGAAATTCAGCACAAGGCCAACAAGAATTCAAGAATGAAGTCCTGTTATTGGCAAAGCTTCAACATAGGAATTTGGTTAGGCTTCTTGGTTTTTGCTCGGAACAAAAAGAAAGGATTCTCATCTATGAGTTTTTGCCCAACTCAAGCCTTGACCACTTCATATTCGGTATGGTAGCAATTCATTTGACCATACAAATTGAATATATTGACTTTATTTAATTCGCTTGTCTTGGTAGAATGCGTTGAAAAGACATGTTTATTGGTAAAAAATTGGATATCTCTGATTATTAGTATTCTGTTCATGACTAATCATGAGTAGAAACTTTTTGAACGCATTTTAGTCCTGGAATTTTGTAGATCCTGTCAGGCGTTTACTACTATCTTGGCAGAAGAGATATAAAATTATAGAGGGAATAGCTAAGGGACTTCTTTATCTTCACGAAGATTCTCAATACCGAATCATTCATCGCGATTTAAAAGCAGCCAATATATTGTTAGATGCAGAAATGAATCCTAAAATTTCTGATTTTGGAATGGCAAAATTGTTTCCAGTCGATCAAACTAAAGCTGATACAAGCAGAATCGTTGGGACCTTGTAAGTATATGAACATACAAATATTGTTTTTACACCTGTTGAGTCTAAAAACTAGGTAATCGTAAGCATTAGCACAAATTCACCACGGGCTTATTTTAGCATCCAATCAAATTCATTTTTTTATTAATTTGTTGTCTTCAGTGGATATATGGCTCCAGAGTATGCATGTTATGGACAATATTCAGCTAAGTCTGATGTTTATGGCTTTGGTGTGTTGGTTTTGGAAATCATTAGTGGTAAAAAAATCAGTAGCTTCGCCGAAGAAAAAGTGGGAGAGTCTCTTCTAACCCATGTAAGTTGCATCTCCCTTGTGCTGATGATATAACCGGATTAGAATTGTTAAAAAGGACAACGTAGATTTTACATGCCCCTTGCTGAGTTCATATTCTCAAAATCTTTGTAGGCATGGAAAAATTGGAATGAAGGGACTGCTTTAGAAGTCATAGATCCAATTCTGAGGGATGGTTCGAGCCGTGAAATAATGAGGTGTATCCATCTCGGATTGCTATGTGTTCAAGAAAATATTGCTTATAGACCAACAATGGCCTCTGTCGTTCTTATGCTTAGTCGCTACTCCATCTCTCTCCCAGTGCCATCGAGACCTGCGTTTGATATACATTCCATTGAGGAGACAGAAACGAGGTCTGAGTCATCCATATCTGATCAATATAGAGGTGAAACTGCCAAAGTCTCAGTTAATGAGGTTTCAATTTCCGACCTAGATCCTCGATAAAGTCTGAAAGATAGTACTTACATATTAT